AAGATGAATAGAAACCGAACATTTCCAAAGGGCCCAAGCACCACTTCCTGGTACTTGTGAAGTAGCACACTACAAGGGAAAAATCATAACCAGACATTATCACCTGAAACCTGTAGTCAGGTTTATCATCATTAGTAGCAATGTATTACCTAATTCACAACAAGTAAATATCAGGTGTATCCTGATATCATATGACATAAGTACATAGTATCACCTATGAAGTATCCTTGCCAAAATGTTTAACCTGAGTCTCATCAGTCTGTAGGTCTAATTACCAGTTTACATGAAATACAGGGAACAGAGGAGCATGTTAAATGAGCTCAGGTAGATGTGATCAGACCAGTGCAGAGGGTGAGACACTCTAAAAGACCACTGGTCTAATCTCTCTAAGTAAATCTTGGGAAAAGAAAAAGAGGTTGTGATAACAACTGTTCTAGGTTAAAGGATACTTAGACTTTGGAGCTTGAATTGATTCTGATTTGGACAAACAAACTCTAAAGTACATTTGGAAAGAGACTAGATACAGACTGTTGGAAGATATTTAAAATTATTGATTTCATTAGAACTGATCATGGTATTGTGATTAGGTAGGGAAATGGTTTTATTTCAGAGTTACACCCTGAGGTATTTGAGGGAGAAATGCCATGTTGTCTGCAATTCATTTAAAATACCTTTAAAAAAAACCCAATTAAATATAATGTTAACAATCATTAAATCAATATGATGAGTATGTGGTGGGAGTGGGTGGATATTTTATTATTTCTGCCATTTTGTATATTTAAAATGTTTTACTTATTAAAAAGTCAAAAAATAGCATCAACACAAACTAACAGCAATTGGCATGGATTCCTTGGGCCTCTTTCTGCTTCTTGATGGCCAGGAGAGAGCAAGAGCTAAAGTAGCTGCTTTAAATCCGTAAGTGGAAACCACAAGTTGGTGGAGTCGTGACTGCCCTGGGCCACCAGCACTAAGCCACCTGCCTAGGAAAAATAATTATTATAATTAAGTCACTGTAAAAAAATTTTAATGTAAAAATTGTAAATTTGTGGAACATATTGAGATGGGATTTATACTCTATACTCAGAAATCCCACTACCCACTCCCACACCTTCCAAACTAAATCTTAGACCTTGTGGGACATGCAAGAGTGGGGGCCCATGAACAATTTGCCACAACGCTTGGAGCATTGTTAATTTCTAACAAAAGTTGCCAAAGAGTTTCTTTAATTTACGTCACTAATGATCAAGTGAACTGCTTCCATGTAGGTAGCTCATAAAGAAAGAAATGAGGCTGCCCTGAGGACTCAGAGTCAGTGACAAAACTTTACATAAATATCTTTTCCAAACAGTAAACTTCACTAAAATGGAGGAAAAGGAAATTGTGCTAACGAAAAGTATCTGGATGAAAGAAAGCTGTTTTCAAAAAACATGAATGAAATACATGTACAAAATATCTTCTTGGCAGGATCCTGATTGGCTTACATTTCTAGGCATCATTTGTACTGATTGGTAGAAATGATAGTTAAATGTTTTATTTGTTTCAGAATTGTTCCCAAGACCATTATTATAGGATCCCTTATTTAGTGCTATGAATTTTTTATATTTTAAAAAGTGTTTGATGTATCTGACATGTAATAATGTTAATAGCTCCCAACTCTCTCAAACTACATGCCTCATCTTTAATGTTGAGTTTGCTTCATAAGTCCTTGTGTGGAATAATATGCTGGGCAATAATTATTAATTAATACAAATAAACATTAGATTATAGGAAGAGTAAGCTTCCCATCAAGACCCAAGTTATTGTCAGATCCTGAGAGCAGTGATTAAAAACTGAGCAGGGCTCTGTTCCTAGGAGAATTATAAGGGGGATGAGTCCTGTATCCAGCATTTTCACCCTCATTTTTAGAGCCATCCAACTCCTTCACATATTCCACTTTACTTCTACTCCCTTTCCCAAACTCCAAGTGCAGTCTGGGTACTCAAAGCTTCTTAGTCCATTACAAGTACCCATTGTAATGTTTTGGCACCAAGGTAGCATCATTTGGAATCTTTCTGACTCTCTTGCTCATTACCCAAACCTCTTATAATCCAAATGGTGATTGCTGTAGAATTGCATCAAAAGTCTTCTGAAGATAAGATAACCCAGAGTCAGAATTCTTAGGTCAAAGTGGTGCAATCTTGTGAGCATAAAATGGGTCAGTGTCTGTCATATGTTTCTATTTGCTCAGCCTTACTTTGATCTGCTCACTAAACAACTCATCCTCAACAGAACTGAGGATGCAGAGAGGACTGAAAGTGGTTAGACAGAAAAGTCAAATCCAAAATGGAGAAGGTTAAGGAGAGCAAATGTATATTAAAAATAAACTTTTCTTTTGCATTGATTTTCATTTTGTCACGATATTTTTAGTTTCACATAACATTAAAGTAAAGCATAAGATTTCTATATTTCCCACAGAGGAAGCTGAGAAATATTGCACTGCCCCTGGTCAAGAGTGGTGTTAACAGAAAAGTCTGGACTATTTGCATGTGCTTATTTCTTTTTATTTCAGTTAAATGACAAATTTTTGCTCACTTGCAACTAACTCTTGCTGTCTCTTTCTCATTTCACAGTATTTAACTGTTATACACAAAAATTGTATCCATTTTATTTTGCTGTCTTTGGTAGTATTTTAATACAAAATTTCCAGATAAAATAGCAACAGACACATGGGTTGATACAGGAATACACACAATACTGTTAAGTGTCACAAGATTTTCATTAATTCCCTCTTCTATGGTGAGATTTCAGGCGTGTAATTGGTACAGAACAGTGTGAATTTTGGCAACAGACTTGTAGTACTTAATAAACCAAATTGTCTCACATTTATGGTGCCAAATATATTCTAGAACTCATTTATGTCAATAGTTGCTAAATATTTAGTCTCATGCTTTGAGATGTTAGACTGTCCATAGTAAGAAAAATAACTGTGGCACAATATATTTTTCATTAAGTTAATTTTATTCATTTAAAAACCCTTTGTTAGTATGATATACACTTCCTTTTTAATGTTGAAATAAACCTTCCCTTTAAAAAACAATGGTGACAGTAGATGCTCAGGGTTGTAATGTATGTCTAATGTTGCTAAGGTAGCAAAATTTTAAAATGGCAAACCTATGTCTCTTTATTCACTTTTTTCCATGGGGAGGTCAGATTTTACTCATATCAGAAATCCAAAAGTCTGAGACCAACTGCTCCATGTTCTATTTTGTGCTTCAAGTGTTGTACCTAGGATGTGACTGAATTAGACTAGAATACAGAGAGAAAATAGTAAAATGTCAGAGATGCTTTTCAAGTTGTGAACTACTTGATATTAACACCCTTTTTTAACTAATAAATTTCTGAATTGAAAAGAATAGAGGTACTGAGTCAATTTAGAAAGTGTTTTTTTCATCTATACAAATGGGTTTCAAGAGCCTATGTTCCTTAGGGTTCTTCACTGTGACTTCAGAGTAATCATTTTCAAATTAATAAACCGGAGTCTGTCTTTAGAATTATCCATTTTTTCTTTTATTAGGTAATCTGAGACTAACTAGAATTCGGCTGTGGAATATAAGACAGAATGGAGAAAAGGCTGACAATGAGATAATGCTTAATTATTTCAATACATGCAATTAACCATTTATACACACTTAAAAACAGAAATCTCGGATGGTGGCATCTGTTGGAAAAAAATTGTAATTCAAACCTTCTCTTTTTTATATTTAGCACAATTTTATATGTGCATAAAATTTTATAATTATTCTCTTTATTTACTTGTTACCTCTCCACTCCAAGTGCCTTTTAGAATCCTTAGTTTGAAGTCCTGATAATTGCTTAAATGACTTAACTGGGGGGGGGG